TGATCACTGCAGCATCACCGTAAACTAGCTTTCACATTTCGTGTGTTCCTTCAGCACTTTTTTGCAGTTTGAAACAAAATTTCATGTTAATGCACTGTTCGTGATCCATGATTTATGGCACACTTTAAAACACACCTTCTCTCAACCATAGCTCACACCTGACTGACTGCACTGAACAAGCTGAAACTTGTCACATACTGTTACTAAGGTTTGACATGCTGCTTCCCATATTGAAGATCCCTGCCTTTCCGTTGGATGGCACTTAGCAGCAGCATTCACCTTATATTTTGATCACACCTCATATGTAGTTATGGCATTTCATTGTTTTCTGATTATTTTTGTGTTTTTTTTTCTCTTCCTTTTTTATTTTCTTGCTTTCTTCTCTTGTATGATGATGACTTTCTCTAGTATTGAATTTGGATTATTTTCTCATTATTTCTTGTATATATTTTGTAGATTTTTTATTTCCATGTGCTTCATATATACCAAAATATGTTTTATAGTACTGTATTTTAAATTGATGGTCACTTAAGTTGGAACATATTCTAAAGTCACTACCGTTTTTCCTCACCTACTGCACATATGTCATCATTATTTTTTATTTCTTTTGTATGTATGTTTGTGTGTATCCATTAATTTACTGTTTCAATTACACATAATTTTCTTACTTTTGCTTTTTAACCATTGTACTAGTTTTAGTGTTGGTTGATGCACTGCTTTTATTATGTGTTTGCCTTTGTGAGGTAGAATTCTACTTTGCAATATTTTTTATTCATATTTTTTATTATTTTTTCCTTCTTCTTAAAGAAATCTCTGTGACACATCTTATAATACTGGTTTAGTGGCGCCGAACTCTTTCAGCTTCTTACTATTTGGGGAGCTCTTTATGTCTCCTTAGATTCTAAAAGATAGCTTTGCTGGGTAGAGTAATCTTGGTTGTAGGTTCTTGCTGTTCATCACTTTGAATATTTCATACCAATTCTTTCTGGCCTGCAGTTTCTGTTCAGAAATCAGATGACAGTTTTCTGGGAGCTCACTTGTAGGTGACTAACTGCTTTATTCATGCTGCTTTAAGATTCTCTCTCTCTCTCTCTCTCTCTCTTTTTAACCATTGGCATTTTAATTATGATATGTCTTCATGTGGACCTCTTTGAATTTTTCTTGTTTGGGGCTCTCTGAACTTCCTGGACTTGTATGTCCATTTCCTTCACCAAGTTGGGAAGTTTTTACTCATTGTTTTTTGAAATAACTTTTCTTCCTTTTTTTTTTTAAGATTTTATTGGGGAATTGGGGTAGGGGAAGAGCACTGGGGAATTGGGGGAAGGGGAACAGACAAGTTACTGTTGTTTTATTCTTCACTCTAGTTGTGGAGGATATTGCTTCGCTGGCCCAAGCTGATACCATCATTGCGCTCTTCCCGGGCAAGGCAGATCAGTCGCCGGCCTCTGGCTGCTCACGGCAGCTGCTGGCCGCTCACACTGGCTGCCAGCTACACATGGTAGCATATGGCAGCCCACTGCAGCAGGGGCTGTAGCCTAGCCGTCACCAGAGACTCATGACAGCCCAGCTCCAGATCAAGCTTTTGTTCAGCATCTTAGCTGTAGAGGGCAGTGTCACTGGCCCTCATATGTGGGATCCAAACCGGGCCTTCTGGCATCCCAAGCCAGTTCTTAACCAACGCACCACTCGGTCGGCCCTTATTTTTCTTTTTTTGCTGTTCCAGTTGGGTGTTTTTTGCTAACTTGGCCTTACATAGTAGGTGTCCTGTGAGGCTGTGGCAGTCTTCCTGTTCACCTGAGCAGTTTGCTCCAGGGGTGTGTCTTGTGTGGGTTGTCTCTGCCTTCCTGCGATAGTTGAGCATTGATTGCTGTTGGCAAGTCAGTGGGTGGGATTGACCCTCAGGCTGACTGGCAGTGAAGATTGACCATGCCTACAGTGGACACACTATTGTGTGGGGTGTAATCCCATAGAGCGGGACTGACTTTAGCGGGGCTCTGGTGCTTGCTGAGTCCACCTTTTGGGTGTGTTGTATGTGGTGCTAATTGGGTGGTGCTCTGGTCTGGCCTGAAGCTGGACAGGTCTGTTGATTCTGGGGGCTCTTGGGAGGGGCTCCATTGCAGGCCAAGGTCAGCAGTTGGGTTTTTTTTGGCCTGAGGCAACCTGGTATGAGCTACAAAGTGGTCTAAAATTGGTAGCTGTCTGCACTGGTCTTGGAGGCACCTGAGAGTGGTTATGCGGTAAACCAAGGATTACTGCCACTAGTGCAGTTCTTGGGGTGGCTTAGCAGGAGGCACAGGGCACACCGAGGCCAGCTGCTTCTTGTTTGGGGTTTGCAGCCCTTTGAGATGTTTTAGGAAATTCTACAGTTTGGGCCCAGGCCAGCTGCTTGTGTGGATTAGCCTTTGAAAGAAGTTCAGGCACTGCATGTAAATTAGGAGGAGTGGGGTTGCAGAGAATCACCAAGGTGGGGTGAGAACAATGTTAGCCAGTTTAATGGAGACTCAGACTTTGCACCTGCCTGTGCCTGTAGGCTGTGTGGAGGGAGGGCTCAACAAAGGAACAATGGCACCTGCTGGCACTTTAAGTCCAGAGAGAGAGCTGCCCCTCTAGCCCTTGCCCTGAATCCAGACAATTCACTTTCTTCTCATATGTCCCTGTCACTTTTTGAGCTGTTGTCCTTTTGCTGAGCTTAGAGTGAGTGTTTTTGAGCCAGTGAGTCTGTGCTCAGGCCCTTTATGAGGGTGCTTGGGTCTACAACAACCCTCTATGTCTTCTGGACAGAATCACCACTGATGTTCACAGCCAGATGTCATGTGGTCTCCTCTTCTCGGCACTCGTTCTTCAGGGTGGGGATCCCAGTGTGGGACTCCTCAGGTGGGACCTCTGCAGCCAAGATATCCTTTCCAATTCTTAACCACCACACCCGGGTGTGAGACCAGCCCATTTTGCATCTCTGCCCCTCCTACAAGTCTCGATGTGGCTTCTTCTTTACATCCTTAGTTATAAGAGTTCTGTTTAGCTAGTCTCCATGTGGTTCTCAATGGTAGTTGTTCAATAACTTAGTTGTAATTTTGATGTAGTAATGGGAGGGGGCAAGCACAGTGTTTACCCATTTTGCTGTCTTAACCGAAAGTTGACAGGGATACAAATTTCCACTCACTAGAGGGAAGAACTTTGTAGCTATTATGATTGTTAAAAATAGAAATTTCTCCAAAGAAGACATACCGATGGCCAACAGACATATGAAAAGATGCTCAACATTACTAATCATCATGGAAATGCAAATAAAAACCACAATGAGATATCACCTCACAGCTGTCAAAATGGGTATGAACCAAAAAGTCAACAAGTAGTAAGCGTTGGTGAGGATATGGAGATGAAGGAAGCCTCATGCACTTTTGGTTGGATTGTAAGTTGGTGCAGCCGCTATTGGAAACAGTATGGAGATGCCTCAAAATATTAAATATAGAACTACCATATGACCCAGCAATTCTCTTTCAGGGTATTTATTAAAAAAATACACTAATTTAAAAATATATATGCACCTTTATGTTCATTTTAGCATTATTTACAAAACCCAAGATATGAAAGCAGCCTAGGTGTCCACTGATACATGAGTGGATAAAGAACATGTGGTATTTATATAAAATGGAATATTACTCAGCCATAAAAAATGAATTTAATCCTCCTATTTGCAACAACATGGGTGGATCTAGAGGCTATTACGTTAAGTGAAATAAATCAGAAAGAGGAAGACAAATACCATATGGTTTCACTTATATATGGGATCTGAAAAACAAACTAATCAACAAGGGAAACAGAAACTCATAGATACAAAGAGCAAACTGATGATCACCAAGTGGGAGAGAGATTGGGGGATGGGTGGGCCAAAAAGGTGAAAAGAATTAAGAAATACAAATTGCTGGTTATAAACATAGTCACAGGGATGTAAAGCACAGGATAGGCAATATAGTCAATAACATTGTAATAACTATGTATGATGTCTGATGGGTACTAAACTTACCAGGGTGATCACTTCTAAAGGTACATAAATGTCTAATCACTATGTTGTACACCTGAAACTAATGCAATATTGTATGCCAACTATACTTTAAAAATATTTTTAAAATGTGGTCATTTCCATTAATAAGTTTTTACTGAGCTTGCCCTGAGAACTGAAATAGAGATAACCCCTTTGCCATATCTACAACCAGATACCCTCTAGTTCTTCACATACTCTAGTAGTAGTTTCTTGAAGTGCTTGCAAGAATAGTCTCAATAAATGTGAATGTCTGAAACTATTATAATTCTGTAAATAAACACAGTTTCTTAAAGTTATAGAAGCTTCTGGAAAGTGGCACGACATATAAATAGGACTAATTTTGCCCTCATCAAAATTCTCAAGGTTCCAAATGTTATCTAAGTTGCACCATCTTTTCCAAGCCCCTATGCTTCCAAGGCCTGGTGACCTGCTAGCCCTTCCACAGGCTCTTATCCAGTGTTTTATACCTAAAGATTTGTAGCCTCACCTCAGTTAAACCCTTGTAAGGTGGTAATTGAAAATGGATTAAAATTTCCCTCTCCCAGGGTTGAGAATAGGGAAATCAGCTAGATTCCAAACTTAAAATACATATGGACACAACTGAAAAGCTGAAATGTGGAAACCCTCAAGAGGGTTGGAGTATATGTTTGGGGGATATTTTCTGAGTTCTTGCTTATTGGTTATCTCTGCAAATTTGATTTACTCTCTCTGACTACTAAGGGAAAAACCTGACTAAGATTATTGCCAAAATAGTGATCTTTTTGATTCCTGAAAATATCTTCCAGAATACTGTTATTCATTGGTAGATTGGCATGATATTTTCAATTTAAACAGAAAATGCCTTTTGAATTTACAAAATTTCACACTTGAATATTTCTTTGGTAGGAAACAAATATATTTGTACACCCAAATATAGACTGACATACCCTTGATGCTATTTTTACTCTATTTTCTGCAGAAATCATCACTCTCATGCTTTCCTTAAGGAAGGAACATTCATCTTCAAGATGGGAAGTAACAGCACAAACAGTACAAGAACAAAGTGCACTGATCTTCAAATGCCATTTCAGTACTCGCTCTATGCAACCACCTACATCCTCATATTCATCCCTGGTCTTCTGGCCAACAGTGTAGCCTTGTGGGTCCTGTGCCGCTTCATCAACAAGAAAAATAAAGCCATCATTTTCATGATCAACCTCTCTGTGGCTGACCTTGCCCATGTGCTGTCCTTACCCCTCCGGATTTACTACTACATCAGCCACCAATGGCCTTTCCAGAGGACCCTTTGCCTGCTGTGCTTCTACCTGAAGTATCTCAACATGTATGCCAGCATTTTCTTCCTGACTTGCATCAGCCTTCAGAGGTGCTTCTTTCTCCTCAAGCCCTTCAAGGCCAGAGACTGGAAGCGTAGGTACGATGTGGGCATCAGTGCTGCCATCTGGATCATCGTGGGCACTGCTTGTTTGCCACTTCCAATTCTGAGAAGTACTGGCTTAACCAACAACACTGAATCCTGCTTTGCCGATTTAGGTGTTCAGCACATTAGCATGGCTTCCTCCATTGGCATGGTAACTGTAGCTGAACTTGGAGGATTTGTATTACCTGTTATAATTATTACTTATTGCACATGGAAAACGAGAAAGTCTTTACGGGAATTTCAAGTTCCCCCTCAGAATGCCAAAGAGAGGAAAAAAGCTTTGTGGATGGTCATGATGTGTGCAGTGGTGTTCATTGTGTGTTTTACCCCTTACCACCTTAACTTCCCACTCTTTATGATGGTGAAGCAACATGTCTTTTCGAACTGCTCCTTTATTAAGAGTACTCTATGTTTCCACATCATTTCACTGTGTCTTGCAAATCTGAACTGCTGTCTTGATCCCGTCATATATTATTTTATGACCTCAGAATTTCGTGATAGATTTTCAGAACATGGTGGCCTGGTTCTTCAGTCATGTGTGAGATGCGAGGACAGTGTTTTGGAAATTCATCGCAGGAAGGAGGATCTTCAAACTATCTCTCTTGAATTTTTGGATGATTCCAAGACAATGTAATCAAACAATTAGCTAGAATGATCTATATTCTCTATCAGTTTAGCTATGTCACCTTGAAGATTTTTCTTAAAAAATGGTATTGTTGAGTGCCTTAACAAAATATGGCCCCCTTCCTTCATTCTCAAAATGATCCTCCTGAAGGAACTATTTATACCTATATTTTCTGTCCAAATAGAAACATATTGTTCTATGGAGAACATAAGAAAATATTTTTCTTTATAGACAGTGATGAACAACAGAATGAATTGTGCACCTCTTCCTCAGCAATGGCTCCAGTTTTTTCACATTCTTTGAAAAAAAATGTAAATTGGAAACAGGTGGACAGAGGTGAACTTGCCAAACATTTAAAAACATATAGGAGAGCAATATTATCCCAGTTTTATTTAGAAAATGTACACTACTCGAAGAAAGTAGACTAAAGAGGAAAAGTTTATTAATATTAATAGGAGTTATGAGAAAAGCACGTGATGCATGCTTTTATATATTGGTACTCATTTAGAAAATATTTTGTTATATTTGTTTATTAAAACCAACCATACCATGGTCTGACTATATTAATTCGTCTATATACAACCTCAGTCAAAATTTTGCTTGATAGATTTAAACAATGAGTTAATGAAGACTCACACACACGCATATCGTTTTTCAGGTGGACCTCATTTCTCACAGGTAAAGATGTATGTAAGGGGGACATTGATGGGTTGAATTTATTATAAATGCAAAATGAAAAATTGTTATTTAAAAATTTTCTGTATTTAAATCATTTTGTAATACAAATCATACACATTGGAAAATTTGAAGCTTAAATTTTCATATATTGGGTTTTATTAAGATAGTATTTTAAAAAGCACTAGTTAGTTTTATAAAATTATAGTCATGCACCAAATAATGTTTCAGTCAATGCTAGACCACATACATGATGGTGGTCCCATGAAATTATAAGACAGTTGAAATATTCTCATCTCCTAGTGATGTCACAGCCATAACATCATAGTGTAATGCATTACTCACATTTTTGTGGTGATGCTGGTGTAAACAAGCCTACTATGCTGTCAGTCATATAAAAGTATAACACATACAATACTGTACAGTACATAACACTTGATAATGATAAAATGACTATGTTACTGGTTTATGTATTTACTAGACTATATCTTTATCATTTTTTAGAATATACTTTTTTTATTTATGAAAAAAATAAGTTTACTGTAAAACAGTATGTTGTCTAACACCGGCAGCAGGCTTATACATCTCATGTTTACTGCGTCTATTGATTGTATCATTTTCTCTTGTACTTGATTGAATCTTATGTTGTTTTGTGTTTTTGTGTTGTAACATGCCATATAGACTTATAGCCTAGGAGCAATACATTATACCATATAGCTTAAGTGTGTAGTGGGCTATATCTAGGTTTGTATAAGTACACTCTATGATTTTTGTACAACTATGAAATCACTTAATGATGCATTTCTCAAAACATATCCCCATTATTAAGAATGCATGAATGGCATAAATATTTTTCTTATCTTTATATGATTGAAAATTTATAAAATGTTTTATTTGTGTTAATTTATTTTTATAATAGTGATTGCCTATTAAAACAAAAATGGATAACATTTACCACAGGGGGATAAAAAACAGGGTAAAACCTAAGTTCTCTGAAGTCCTCTAGGGATCTGTATTTTAGACAGTTGTATACTATAGAAATGATCGAGTAGCTCTTTAAGTACCTAAATATTTAAAAACAACATTTTAGGTGGAAATGTTTCTAAATTATATTCTTTCCTACCCACTTAAGCAGTTTGTTTTAAACATGAGGACATGGTGTATGAAAGAAGCGTTAATCCTGTTTCAGAGAACTAGGATCTTAGTTTCAGGTCTAGCACTGAAAACCTATGTGACTTTGAGGAAGTTACTTCTCTTTGGGTTTCATTTTTATTACCTGTCCATAAGGAAGCTAGACTAGATGATGTCAATATGAGGCATACTTTTTGGAATGCGCTTTATAAACTCTAAAGCACTTTACAAATGAGTGTTTTTGCTATTATTAGTATTAATGTCATTGTTATTATTTTAAAAGAGCTTCAACTAACATTTAATGTAATCTTTTCAGGATGATTGAGGGTCATTATTAGAAACATCAGTTATTATACAGTACACACACACATTTGCTTCTCTAAGAGCTATTGAAATGTGTAGAATTGCTTGTAGCTACACTAAAATAGCCCTATGAATTATTAGTGCTTATATATTTGATTGTATAAGTGCTTCTTTCTCCACTTTTTCAGGCTATCTGTTCTTACTCCTTGCCATTGTGAGTAGGACTACCTAATGAAGGCCTATAATTTCAATTAATGCTTTCTAATATATTATGGCGTTGAAAATACAGTAATCAAGCTAGTTGTGACAGTTTAACAAAAATGAGTAAAGCCTGCTTATTTCATTTTATTTAGACAGGGTGTGTGTGGAAAAGGGAAACTCTCCTATGGAACAAAGTATATGGGTTTTAGTTTATGGACTTTATTACAGCTATTTTGGCTATGCAGAACTATTTTGCTTCCTTTCTGATTCTGTCAGCTGTGTTTGGATAGCTGAGGTTGCCAGATATTTGAGTTCCAGTTGGCCGAGGTGTGGCTAGCTATTTACGACACCAAAAATTTCTTGGAATATAAATATCACCAGTGTGTGTGTGTATGTGTGTGATATATATATATATATATATATATATATACATATATATATATAATTTAAATTTCCAAAATTATTACTTGTTTCTCTTCTGGAGGTTTCTGTTTTCCATAATTCTCTTAAGAAAACATCTGCTCACTCTGGCCCTTGCTCCCTCTTACTTTAAGGGCATTGGGTAGAAATGCCCTATGTATTTGAAGTCCTATTCGAAATACAGTAATTCTGCTTTTTTGAAGTTGGCCTATTGTTATCATGAGTAATAAACATTATCCAAAATATTTGGAGAATCAAAGAAAGCAGACTGGTTTAACAATTCTCTTGAAGTTATCAAAATTCTATAGAAAGCTCCAATTCACTCCTACTTCTATAGGAGGGCTTTGAAGGCTGGACTAGGCACTGGCATTGGTGCATAGCTTCCCAAGGGGAGTGCTTTGTAGGTGACAATAATGATATTCAGCAATGAGGTATGTAGCACTTTTTCTAGGATGAGTTTGTGAACTTAATTGTCAGACCTTGTATGTTGTAATCTATAACATTGAAAATTAACCCAAAATTTTACATGAATATTAAGACTTTGGTAGTAAGTTTCTATTACTAGGTTAATTAAGGCTTGCATATTTCTCTCATCATGGAAGACTGCATTCTGGGTATAAATTAGAAAATCTGTTGATATATCGTGATCATATAGTTAATCTAGTTCTATTAGCAACACACAAATGGTAGGTGTTCAATAAATACTTGTTGAGAGATTTAAAAGAAAGTACATCGTGATTAGTTAGATATCCAAAAAAATAGTCCTTATAAAGTTGACATCAATAAATGTAACAAGATTTATGCACTCATTCTCTCTGCCTTTAATTACCATAACAACTAGGAGATAAAGACCTGAGAAGAGATTATTTTTCCCAATTTTACTGAGGAATTACTAACACATATAATTGCATACATTTAAATTATAAAACATGATTTTCAATATACATATTAAATGCATATCTGCCACTAAAGTCATTGAATCTTGGCAGGTTAGATGAATTTATTGACTACAAATGGGGCCAAAGTCTGGCTCACTCTGGGTTAAATAGGTAACCATATTACAGTAGACTCTGACTTTTGTAGTTGTGTAAAATGTGTTTGTAAGCTGTGTATTAAATATTAAAACAAAATATTTCTGAAAGTTTGATTAATTTTTGTTTTGATGTTGTTATTAACAAAGGATAAGGTATGTCTTCTTTTCTCCATAGGGAAGTGGATGTGTGAAGGAGTAGGTGCAGAATAATAATAATATCTCACATGGTCAATTACTCTTCCACTCTCTCACCTATATTCCTAAATCTTTATTTCCAATAGATTCAATAAATTATTCATAAAGTCAGACTTGTGTGAGCTTCATCCAAGTTGTTTATGATGCCACCTTTTTGTGTTTCCTCTAGTGGCCACAAACCTGGTCCTGCTCTTGCTTCCTCTACAGCTCTACTTCCAGCATGCCATTCTGTAGTTGCTCTGTCTTCTCTGGGCCATTCTGCTCCTTGGCTAGTGGTGGCTGCCCAGTTAGATTCTTATTGTATATCTGTGGGTTTCTCCTGCCTGGAAGTCAATGAGAAGTTACTGCCTTGATCACATTCTAGGACACAACAATTTTTAAACAGCTTATAGGCTGGTTGCAAACAAACCTTAAAATGTATTTAGTATCACCTCTTAGTTTTCTAACCCAATATATGTGTCTCCTTTGACATCAACTGCCAATGATAGAAAAACTCAGAGTCCTTGACCTGGCAATAAGCTACCAATAACCAATAACAATGGTTAAGTTTCCTTGTATGCCCTCTCCTATTCTGGTGCTAGGCTGATGTGGTCCTTTTATGGCCTTCTCCTCCCTCCCACAGTTTCTCTTCTATTAACCCAGTTTCAATAATGTTGAGCCCTAGAATGTGACCAAGTCTAGACCCAGCCTCCTTTACTCACCCCAACTACATCTACTTTTCCACTCCAGGCATTAGTTTTTTCACTTTCTTCTAGGCTTTTCCATCTCGGTACCTCCTGACCCCTCTTTCCAAAAGACACCTTATACTCCATTAAAATTACAGCATCCTTTACCTTAGATCGCACCTGATTCAGGACTATATCTCTATTCTTGTCACGCTCAGTTATGTATCTTTCCTTTTGTGCTACTGTAGCACCAGTTTTCTCGGCCACACCTATTATACATAACTTAGCATATTAGAAAGGGAAACTGGGTGAAAAGGGTGAAGGGATTAAGAAATACTAATTGGTAGTTGCAAAATAGTCACAGGGATGTAACAGCATAGAGAATATAGTCAGTAATGTTGTAACAACTATAGTGCCAGGTGGGTGCTAGACTGAACACAGGGATCACTGCATAAATTATATAATGTCTAACTAGATACATACGTTGTATACTTGAAATTAATAAAAATAATATTGAATGTCAACTGTAACTGATAAAAATTTTAAAAATAAAATAAAAAGAAAGGATACAGAGACAGTGCCTCTATATAACAAGAGCTTAAGAGTGTCAATGGGCAGAGGACCTGAATAGACATTTCCCCAAAAAGGACATACAAATGGCCAATAGACATATAAAAAATGCTCAACATCACTATTCATCAGAGAAATGCAAATAAAACCCATAATGAGATATCACCTCACACCAGTTAGAATGGCTATCATCAACAAGACAAATAATAACAAGTGTTGGAGAGGCTGTGGAGAAAATGGAACCCTGCTACACTGTTGGTGGGAATGCAGATTGGTGCAGCTGCTATGGAAGGCAGTGAGAAGATTTCTCAAAAAATTAAAAACAAAATTACCATATGACCCAGCAATCCTTCTCTTGGATATCTACCCCAAAAATCTGATAACATTTATCCATAAAGGTATGTGTGCTCCGTTATTCATTGTAGCTTATTTATGGTGGCCAAGACATGGAATCAACCAAAGTGTCCTTTGATAGATGATTGAATGAAGAAGATGTGGTATATATACACAATGGAATACTATTCTGCCATAAAAAAGATGAAATAGTGACATTTGCAACAACATGGATGGATCTTGAGATTATTATGCTAAGCAAAACAAGACAGAAAAAGTAGAGAACCATATGATTTCACTGATATGTGGTATATAAAACTGAAAATAACAAAGGAACAACACAAATAAATGAAGAAACAAAAACTCATAGACACAGACAATAGTTTAGTGGTTACTAGAGGGTAGGGGGGAGGGGAGCGGTAGATGAATGTAAAAGGGATCAAATATATGGTGATAGAAGGAGAACTGACTCTGGGTGGTGAACACAAAATGTGATATATAGATGATGTATTATAGAATTGTACACCTGAAGTCTATGTAACTTTGCTAGCAATTGTCACCCCAATAAACTTTAATTAAAAAACAATGTCAATACAGGTGAAAAGAGTCAGAGGCTAGAGGGAAGTTTCTCAGGAGACAAACAAATGCAGAATGAAGACAATGGTTATTTGTGGAGCGGCCAGGTGGCTCAGTTGGTTAGAGTGAGAGCTCTGAGCAATAGGGTTGCCAGTTCAATTCCCACATGGGCTGGTGAGCTGCACCCTCTGCAACTAGATTGAAGACAACTAGTTGAGCTGAGCTGCTGCTGAGCTGCCTGTGGGTGGCCGGATGGCTCAGTTGGTTAGAGCGTGTACTCTTAACAACAAGGTTGCCGGTTTGACTCCAGCATGAGATGGTAGACTGCGCCCCCTGCAACTAGATTGAGCACGGCATCTTGAGCTGAGCTGCTGCTGACCTGCCAATGGGCTATCAAATGACTCAGTTGAT